GTATGAACCACGCATTTCCCTTCTGCATTTCAAAAAACATATCAGTTAATCTAAAAAACAGTAATAACTTTAATGAGCACATATTTATGTAAAATCCTGTTTGTGATTAAAATGGGAAAAGTCTTGCTAACCTATATGCATAGGAGAGCAGATTTTGTCCAGATTCATAGTTTTAAAATTTCTGTGCAGAAGGCAAGATAACCCATGACAGATTTTTGTTGTTTTGCCCACGATTAGTGATGGATGATGATCTAATAAATTTGTGTGACATAAAAGTATGTCATGTTCTACCACTCGACATTGTCCCTTCCCTTTTCTGCAAAGGTACTATAGGCTGAAAGTAAAAGGTTCTGGTTAGTTTTATATGACGGTCTTCCCTATGTAGTTTTTCTATTCAAATTGGTTTTATAATCATGAATGGTAAAGGGTGGGTTGAATCAAGGTGAAAGAATATTAAATTGAGCACACCTGCCTGCCACCGCTGTTCCTTCAACTGAGTGCTGCACACCATGGGCTCTGTCTGTGAGAGAAAAATCCCGGTGCTTGGTGTCTTTGCATGACATGGAGTTTTGCATGTAGATCAATTTAAAATGTACCTCTTGTTTACATAATTTGCATAATTTTAAAAGATGATGTTGCCAAACTTTGGAAATGTTAATATTCAAAATGAAAATCTCCACTACATGTAACTACTTTCTTCCTCTGGATCAGTACGTGGCTTACAATCCCAGCCAGTGGTTTGATCTGTTCCAGTGTCAACTGCCATGTGCTCTGCTTCAAGAGGGAACTAGTCTTTTGTGAATTTTTTTGTACATAATTATTTGTTACAAATATTTTAGCAAATGCTTTCTATATCTCTTGCTTGTGCATATCTTGGCTGGCGTTTGGAAAAAAAAATAGTGCGAACTATTTCCTTACTGGGGAATGAGGGTTTTTCTTTTTTAGTTTGTGTGAGGGAGGTGGGGAGGGCATGGTTTATGTTGAATGTTTAAATTTTCTTCTGCATGATACACGTCATGTTGTGAAATCTTTAGAGAACTTCATACTGTATGAGTAAGAAATAAAATATTTGAAACTTGCTTGGATGTATTCTGTCATCTTTGATGTACTGCTACAGTTGGACACCCTGTCCCTGCTTTAGGGTTTACAGACTTGGTAAATGCCTCATTGTTGTTTTGAATCATAAGCTACAGGTGAAATGTCTGGAACAAACAGAACAGCCCGATGTTACAAAGCCCGTGACTTCACTTCCTTCCTTGACCACTCCCTCCCTGCCCTGGGCCTGTTACAGTGCCTTCAGGGTTTGCCCTCAGCTGTATACCAACTCCATACCCAGTTAAGTAATGCCTTCAGTACTTTGTTCACCTGTGTATGTGCTGGCTCAAAGGGGGACTTTTCTGACTGTTCTGTTATAAAGTGTAAGTACTCTGGGGTCTCCTTTACCCAGTCTCATTTCCTTTATTCCCTAGCACCCTCTTCCAAGCATATTTTGTCTTCCCTGGTTATAGAATAAAAAACAATGCTTTACACAGTAGTGGATTCCTTGTTTTGCAGACACTTCTAGTTTTTCAGAATATCGCCTGGGTCACGCATGTTGTAATTTCATTTTTTTTTTTTTCTTTTTCTTTTCTAAGTTCACACTAAACCAGGCTGGTCTTGAATTTTTTTAATCTTCCTGTCTCCGCTTGCAGAGTTCTGGGATCATAGACCTGTGTCACTGACCCAGGTTACCGTTTTATAACTTTAACAGATGAAATTTTATTTTTGAGACTTATTTTTTTTTTCAGATAGGGTTTCTCTAGGCTGGCCTCGAACTCAGATTCCTCCTGCCTTTGCCTTCCCAGTGCTAGGATGGATTAAAAGCCTGGGCCACCATGCCCACCCAGCCTACGTCTGAGACTATTGCAGAATTCTTATGTGTTCAGCACTGTAATGAGGTTGAGATACTCATGGCAGGTAAGTGATGCCCCTTACCTAAATGAGTTGTGGGATATTGGGTGTGTTTACACCCAGAACATACATAGTATGTGTTCACAGGTTTTCAAGATGTGTGCATTGAATTGTGGGGCTCCTGTAGAGGATCCGAAGAGAAAGAGCCTAAGAAAATGACTATTCAGAAATGAAAACTCTTAAAGTAGGAGAAAATATTTGTAAACCATATAAGAAAAATAGGATTGATAATCAAACCTGAAGGTCTGCATAACAGCAATAAAACATCTAGCTAAAGTATGGGCAAAGGACTTGGAATAGACAGTATAAATACACAAGTGGCCACTAAGTACTGGAAATGATTCTCAATAGCACTGTCATTAAGGAAATGCAAATGCAAGTCACAGTGAGATCCACTTTACAAGCATTAGGTTATATTAACTGTTCTTCCTCGTCCCCCAAAGGAAAGAAAAACAGAATTGGAGAGAATACTGGCCACCTCTTTGGTTACTGGTGAACTCACTCAGTTCAGGCAGCATTACAACAGCTAAAGAATGGAAGCAGTCCAAGTATTCTGGAGATGAACTGGTAAACAAGGCATAAACACTACTGAACAGAAAGGAAAATTCTGACACATTCTCTAATATGGGTAAGCCATGTTAAGTGAAACAGCTCCACTTTTAATGGGATAAAATTTCTAAAGACAAATGCAGATTGGTTTTGTTAAGGGCAACAGGAAGAAAGGGATTTACTGTTAAAAACTTGTACAGACCTTCAGGAGACAGAACATTGATTGTGATGGCTACATATTAAATAAAACTACCAAGTTGCATTATCTACAGTTACAATGGTTAAACTGGAAAGCTGTATTTCAAAAAATTTTATTTTTTATGTGCACTGGTGTTTTGCCATGGGTGTCTGATCCCCTGAACTGGAGTTATAGACAGGTGGGTGCTGGGAATTGAACCTGGGTCCCCTGGAAGAGCAGTCAATGCTCTTAACCACCGAGCCATCTCTCCAACCCTTGAAAGGAATTTTTTTAATGTGTAGAATGTTTTAGAATGAAAGGTGTAGACAAGATGGTAGATTTACTTTCTGGATATTTCTCAGGATGTACAAAGAAAGTGTTGTTCAAGGTCATGTCTTGAGATGTTCATCTTTAGTGTTCAAAACTCCCCCACATGCCAGGTTCACACTAATGTAGAGCTTCTAAGTCCTGTTGCAACCTTTTCCTTCCTTATCAGCTAACCAATCCAAATGGCTGAGTTCTTTGAGAGTTCCTGAAGATTGTGATTTCTTTGGCCAAATAAGCAGTGCTTTCCCAAGACAAGTACTTTGCACGTGGCAGGCACTTTGCAGCTTTCAGAATGGCTATGGATACTTTCAATAATGTAACCGGAAGTGTGTTGCTCCAAACGTGACATGGCTCTTGGAACAGTGCAATTGAATAAATCAGTAAAATATAGTTGGAGTTGTGATAGACACCGAGTATCCTAAAGACCACGTGGCCTTACAGTTAACAGGTGAGTCAGTAGCAGGGCAGTGCCACAAAAATAGGTTTCAGGCCGGGCAGCAGTGGCGCACACCTTTAATCCCAGCACTTGGGAGACAGAGCCAGGTGGATCTGAGTTCGAGGCCAGTCTGGTCTACAGAGCGAGCTCCAGTACAGGCACCAAAACTACACAGAGAAACCCTGTCTCAAAAAACCAAAACACCAAACAGGTTTCAGGTTGGCTGTAGTGTGCTGGCACTAGAGATGTTAAGGGAGTGATTTGGTCCAGGTTGTTAAGATTAACTACCAGCAAGATGCAATCAAGTGACTTCAAGAGTTACTCTCTAGCATCGTCTACCTTTGAATGCAGAGTACTGCACTTTAACATAGAATCTCAAACTCTCACAGGCAAAAATTATGTTCTTAACTCTGCCTCAATTCCTTAGAATTAAACCCAAAACACTGTTACCTAGCCATGGATCACTTCAGACACTTGAAAAGGCATTAAAGCCACAGACGACATTTCCGAGAAAAGCACATGGTAGCTGTCACCACAATATTGAATCCCTCTCACTGGGCATATAGTTTGTATGTACCTCCTAAATGCTCTATAGACTCCAGAATAGAGAATTCCTAACACATTCCTCCTTTTAATGAGGTTTGATAATATTAAACATTCTCTCCTGTGTGAGGGGACACTCCAGCAATTTCTTGTTGGCAGACAGTCCATCCAGGTAAAAAGCAGCTTGGATACTTAGCACCTCCCACCGATAAGAGGGAACCCAAGCTCAACAAAAACTACTACTAAGCAGGGCATGATGACACATTTGTAACCCTGGCACATGGAATGTTGAGGCAGCAGACTGTCCCAAATCTGAGGCAAGCTGGGCTACACTGAGTTACAGGCCAGTCTAGACTACACATTCTGTCTCAAAACCCAAGAGGAACTGGAAAGATGGTTCAGTGGTTGAGAGCACTTGCTGCTCTTAGAAGACTGGAGTTCATTCCCAGCAGCCACATCAGGCCTATAACCATCTGTAACTACAGCTCCAGGGGAACGCCTATACACACGTAGCAGGCACAGGCGCACACACACACCCCTATACACATGTTGCAGGCATACATACCCAAGTTCACATAAATAAAACTAAAATTTATGCTGGATGTGGTGGCGTATACCTTGCATTCCCACTCAGGAGGCAGAAGCAGGGGGATTTCTGTGGGTTCGAAGCTAGCCAGGGCTACACAGTGATACGTATCTCCAAACACACACCCTCTTTGTTAGAGCTGGCTCACTGGGGAAGAGCACTTGACTTTTCAGACTTGGCCCAGCAAACAAGGTGACTCACAACTTCATCTGTTAACTCCAGTTTAGGGATCTGATTCCCTACTCTGGGGATACCAGGCACACGCATGGTGCACAGACCTAAATGTATAAAACACTTATAAAATAAGTATCAAATTTTTAAAAAGTTAAAAAAATTTTTAAAAGCACTACTTCTTTTAGCTATTGCATGGATTTCCTGATACTCCAATCATCACAATAGTTTGGTCAAAGCCTTTGAGAAACAAAAGAATGTAGTATCTAAATCACATGTTTAATGAATTAGGTTCTAAACAATGTAAGAAATAAGCAAATTCATATACACAGACACTAGTTACAAGAATATACTGTTGGGAAAACTGTTTTACTTTCATTACTTCCTTGAAAAGCAATTCATTAGGCTTGTGATGCGGGCTTTCATTTCATAAATAGACACAGACAAGCACCTAAGGGTCAACAGCACAGACTAGTGCTATGACCCATCCCTGAAGTAGTCACGGTGCTCGGTACCAAGGACTGTGATTCTCAGGTCTTCTGAGATTTTCATTAAAATTTTCAGAGGAAAAAAATGCTTAGTTTAGTTATAAATCTGTCTTAAGAAGTCACCTCTAAATGACAAGACTTTAAACTGTGAATCTGCCACATGTGATTAAAGTGAAAAATACAGCAATTTACACTTAATGTGTTAAGTATTAAAATATTACATTTTGGTATTTAAATTAGCCTAGAAGCAGAGGAGTGCCAAGTCCGGTTAAACCTTCCCTTTCTGCTTCTGCTCTGGCTGAGACCTGAAAAGGAACCTGAGCTGTAGGTGGCTAGGAAATATTCCCATGGTTTTATGTGAATAACTCAAGGGTCGGAGGGGAATCAGAACCGGTCCGCTGATCTGCTGGCCACAGCTCGGATATTGCCGTACACCTTTGATGGAGGATTTCCTGTTTAAGAAAAAAGCAGCTTATATATACAAATATATTCAAACAAAGAACTACATAGAAGACAAATATCTTGCATTCCTAAGAGAAATCAGTTATAAAAACAGTATTTCATAAAGAAGCCAGCCAGCCAGACCTGAACACCAGAGCAACCTCTGAGCAAATTACTATGACTCTCGAATTAGATTAAATTAAATCAAGTGGACAGATGTGTTTAGCAGCCCCCATTTTGTAGAACTTAAAATGTTCTGTTATTTTGGAATGGCTTTTCTATGTACTTCTTAGGGAAAGCAACAGAGATTTAATGATATTACTCAATAAACGCTTCTCTCCTCTAACAAATGAAATCTAAGTAAAATATTCCTGTTTTTCCCTTCACTAACTCTTTGACTTCTCTTGGTATCTTTAACAATATGAAAGCTGCTTCATAAATATGGCTTCAATTCCTCTGTTCCCTAAGAAATAAACTGTTATTACCTAGGATGAGGTTGCAAATGGCAGTTCTAGCCATCTTGATGTTCTGGAAAGAGCCGAGAATGTGAACTTTCCTGAAAGAAATAAATGAGTTAGGTTAGCCACGAAAGGCATGTCCATACCAAATCCTGGGAAACTAAAAACTCTGGAAATCACAAGAGATCCATATTCTAAACCGAGGGCAGGGGGTGATGGCTGACAACTTAAAGATCTTCTAAAACCACTTCTACAATGAGTGACTTGTGGTACAGAAATTATATATCCCCACAAAAAAATTATCAAAAAGACAAGTAACAACAAATTAAAAATGCCTTTTTCTTGGCAGTTTTTGCAGTGTTACCAGACTGGCCTTAAACATGAAGTGATCCTCCCATCTGCCTCCTGAGTGCTGAGGTTACAGGCATGTGCCACCACTCCCTGATTACTGGTTACAGGCAGCGAGAGATGGTGCAGTGTGTAAAGGTACATGCCACCTAGCCTGACAACCTAAGTTTGATCCCTGAGGCCCACTTGAGAGAAGGAGAGGACTAATTCCCACAGGTCGTCCCCGACCTACGTTCAGGTGCTATGGCACATGATCCGCTATACAAACAGGAATTACACAAAACAGAACAAAAAGATTCCTGGTCAATAGTTGTTCTCATCCAATGAGTCCTCCACTGTAACCCTCAAAGGACCTTCCCTAGGTAGAATTATTCCCACTGTATACGAGGAAAGAAACTTTAAAGACATCAGGAGACTTAGGGCTAGGGATGTAGCTCAGAGGCACACACCCCTGTGTGTGAGGCCCTGGATTTCATCCTGAGCAATAAGGACGGGAAAGGATAGAGGACACACATGGAAAGGACACAGAAATCAAGAAAGCTTAGACCATTTAGCTGCTCACAAAATACCCAGAACTCTAACACTGATTCACTAATTACAGCATCTTTCAATTTCAACTTATAAAGCTATGAAAAACTATTTTAGAGGCTTCTATATTTATGTATATTAAATGAGATGCTATTTTATACTTGGGGATTATAATGCTATTTTCTGACTCCAAAGACTATCACATAACAAGTCCAATGCTAGATGTGGGATACTGACCTTCAAGTTGTTGGCTGGGGTACTATATTCCCCCAAACGATACAGGCTACTGACAATGTTGTTGGTTACCTACCAGATTTGATCGTAATACCCTATTGCTGAAGACACAGAAAAGTCGAGCTGGTATTACCTAGAAGCTTCCCCTCTATTTGCTAGCTTTCATAGTGATACACACTGCTACACGAGCTGCCAAGGGAGGAAAGTCACAGGTTCTACTCAGAAGTGAAGCCCACCAGCTTACACTAATGATCGGGGGTTTGCTGTGAGATTGTGTCTCCTACTAACATCAGAAAAGACACTCATAACGTCTTACCAACATGACCGCCCAATCATGAGCAGAAAACAAGGACACCACCAGTGGACATGCCAAAGTAGATGGGGAAAAAGCTCAAGAGGCCTCAACCCTATAGCAAGAGCTACAAGTAATAGGAATGCTGAAGTAGGAGAAATGGTCTACCCCAGGGAAGAGCACCCCAATTGGTCATCCAATACCAAACGGTCAGCTCTGAAAACACACATACAAGTAACATTAAGCTGACTGAACAGCTTGTATTTAGGAATACATATGAATAAACATATATGCAATTAATAACAATTTTTTTAAAAAAGCCGTAAGTTTGAAAAAGTAAAGAAGGGTATATGATAGGGTTTGGTGGAAAAGAAATGTAATTAAATTACAATCTCAAAAAAAATTTCTAAATGTAACAACAACAAACAACTGTTGTCACACTTTAAATCTAATTTAAAATTAATCAAAAGATGTACGAAGTACTTTTACACCAGCGTTAGTCACCATGTCTCCAACATGAAACATCCCAGATGTCCATCAACTGTAATAGAATGCTACTTGGCTATTAAAAAAAAGGGAACTACTGTTTCACTCAACAAAACAAGCTCAAAGCAATGTGCTAAATGAATCCACACTGGGCATCCATTTACATGAGCAAAAGCAGTGACAGGAAGCAGACTGGTGGCTGACTGGGACTAGAGTGGGGTAAAGGGCTGGTAAAGTGATGCAGGGGAACTCCGATGATGGACAGTACGGCTGTTGCAGGGCCACAGGACGGCTATGCTGAGCAACTCACTAGACTGACAGTGCCAACAGGTGACGTTTACTGATGGAAACTGTGCCAAAAATACCCTTTCTGAAACATTTATAGTGAATTTTAAGACATTTAAATTTGCAGATTATAAAGTTAATGACAAACCAGTCACAAGTTCATTAGCAAGTTGATTCTAACTTTGGTTTTCTCAACTAACAAAAACTTTTAGGCTACGTTCAGCTATTTTGAATATTGTTATTTCCATGTCTTTGAAATTACCAGTAGAAAAAAGCTCAGATTTCAGACTCTTAAGGCTCAATCCATAGAAGAGCAAAATTATGATACTACATTTGACTTCAAGTAGAGGGCCATCAATACAACAGTTACCCTTAAATATAAAGACTACATTATAGTCTAAATAATGATGTTTAGAGCAAAATGGTATTAAATGAAATCCTTACCCTCTCTGCCAACTGCTATATGCCAACTTCATAGTCTATCAGCTCTGAGATATCTCCCTGTTTAACACCAACATGGGAACAGAACAGCTCTGACCTCAGAGAGGTACTCCCAGCCTCATATCCAGCACTCTCATGCCCATCTTAAAAGGGGCACTCCCAGCTCCGCGTCCAGAACCTCATCCTCGCCATAAGCCTGTATCATCTTATTTATAGTCACATATAAGTGTCTGACAGTTTTTTATTCAATATGCAATACTCACCCTCCTATTAAGAAAGGTATGTGTGAAATATAGATATATATTCTAAAGGAAAGCCTCACAATGGCATTTCAAGCACCCACTATTTGTACTTCCCTTAATGACTTAATGAGATTGGACCAAGAGCCCTGATAAGACCAAAAGTGGCTCCCTGAGACACAGAATCAGCCAGCTTAGATCAGACCAAGAGCAGCTCACTGAGACACAGAGCAGCTCCGAGACACAGAATCCACCAGCTCCAATTAGACCAAGAGCTAACATTGGACCCAGAGTGGCCCCCCAAGACAGACACAGGAAGCACAGATTGGACCAAGAGCAGCTCACTCAGACACAGGCACCTCTTGCACCTATTGGAGGAAGAGATGGGAAGACGGCAGTGCAAAAATACATACAAAACATAAAGAGCAATATGGCACCACCAGAACCTAGCCGTTCTACAACAGCAAGACCTGAACATCCCAACGTAGAAGAAGCAGAAGAAAGAGACCTTAAAAATAACTTTATGAAGATTTAATGGATTTTCCCGAGATAAAATTTAAAGCTTCCCTTGTGATAAATCATTTTAATAGTGAGTCTAAGTATTTCTTTTATTCTGAGGGGAAAAAAAATGAAACTACAATCACTGGAATTTCCTTGACTAACTCATCATCCTTTCAAGTTTGATGACTGTTCATCTAGGACCACATACCTACAAAGACCCAATGGCAAGAACATCAGGTAATACAACTATGATAAGGCAGTGGTATGGTACTTGACCAGAACACACGTGGTCCCTGGTTCAATCCCCGACACCAAAAAGAAAAAGAAATTACAACAAATATAACAGCTATAAGACCAATTATAAATCACTAATTATAAATTAAAAATTTCCTCAAGACGAGATACTTACACATCTGCCAAGACAATCCGTGTCCGTGTCACATTCTCTATTGTGAATTTGGTTTTCCCTCCTTTGCCAGCAATGCGTCCTATTGCCCTGGACAGGTGGTCTCCTTTCAGGGGCTTAACTAAAGGAGAAAGACAAGACATCAGGGGCTAGCTACTGAGTTGTTCTACTACACAACACTATACATTTTCTGAAGTGTTAGTAATACAGCTCAATTGAAGCTATTAGAAAGCCAGTCACAACACAATGCAGTCAGAAACACAAAGGCTGACTGCTCACACAGAAGACCACCAAGTGCTTCTCTCACCATCGGTTATTTCAAAAGACTCTAGGAAGAGGTCATCCAGCCTGATAAGGGCAAGCGCATCCTACAAAACAAAAGTAAACATCATGAAGACCTTTTCAGTAGACACTTGGCAGTGACAGCATTTCTGCAACTAAAATCCAGATGCCACAATGACAAGACTCATTTGGAAAATGATCCATCTACTGAAATGTCCACACTGTGTATTTCCAAATCCCCTGAGACTACTCACCTCCACCTGAAACCCAAGAACAAAGGCTTTCACAAAGTCGGCCGCTTTTGTCAGGGCAGTGACATCCTTGGTGTCTTTACAAGTCTGAAAAAAAGAGGTACACACATGGAGGGAAGAAAAAGAAAGCATTCTAAAAAACACTAGAAATGCTATTTTTATTATAATTTCCTTCACCATCAGCTGCTACCCTCCCCCAATATTCTAAGACCCCTTTTAGGTGGGATAAGCATGCTCTTTAATTTGTACAAGAGAACCTTCTGTTCCAAAGCTGGGCAATGCTACACAAACCCGCTCAAATGACTAACCACACGCTATGACTTGTCGAGGTTAGTGGCAACACCCCTAGCATTCTCCAAGGGCTCACACCCATTCTGTCCTCTTTTAAATGTCCAGACAGTTCCTCTTCTCTCCTCCATCAAGGCAGTATTCCCCAGAGTCCTGACCTAATGTTCTGTCTTAGAGGACCATTTTTTTTTTTTTTTTCCCGACACAGGGTTTCTCTGTGTAGCTTTGCGCCTCTCCTGGAACTCACTTGGTAGCCCAGGCTGGCCTGGAACTCAGAGATCCGCCTGGCTCTGCCTCCCGAGTGCTGGGATTAAAGGCGTGTGCCACCACCGCCCGGCTTAGAGGACCATTTATATGCTGTTGTTTCCCAAATCAACAACTCCAGTTCTAACTCCTTGCATGCCTGGTACTGAGGAAATCAAGAATAGCTTAAGTAGGAATCCTGTCTGCAAGTAATTACTTGAACTACAGAAATAGCTGTTATTCACAGAACGCCCACCACTGTAAATAATATGCTTTACACATCTAGCTCTAAGCCTCACCTTGACAACCTTGAATGTTTAGTAATATAAACACTTATCAAACATGAGGAAATTAAGGTACTAAAAACCCAACGCAGTCTAATTCCAAAATATTCCTTCCGGTCTCCCACACAAACTCACAATCCATTTGAAGGGACTACACATTTGACAGACTTAAAAGCATACAGGATTGTGTTAACAGGATTTTCACATTTTTTTTTTTTTTTTTGGTTTTTCGAGACAGGGTTTCTCTGTGTAGCTTTGCGCCTTTCCTGGAACTCGCTTTGGAGACCAGGCTGGCCTCGAACTCACAGAGATGCGCCTGGCTCTGCCTCCCGAGTGCTGGGATTAAAGGCGTGCGCCACCACCGCCCGGCTAGGATTTTCACATTTAAAAACAGAACCCAGCAGGGTAGGGGAGCATATGCCTTTAATCCCAGCACCCTTCAGACCTCTTTCAGTTTCAGGCCAGCCAGGGCTACATAGTGAAAAACAACAAAGCCCCAGACTCTGGTTTCCACCCTATACATCCCATAAATATCCTAGGATTTTTTTCATCTATAAAATTACATGTCGGCATAGAAGATCTTAAGTGGTCTCTTCCAGCATTAATACTCAATGACTACACTGAGGGCTCTGGCCAAGGCACTGAATTTCTTTTTTCTTTTTTTGGTTTTTCAAGACAGGGTTTCTCTGTGTAACAGTCCTGGCTGTCCTGTCCTGGATCTCGCTCTGTAGACCAGGCTGGCCTCAAACTCACAGAGATCCCCCTGCCTCTGCCTCCTAAGTGCTGGGATTAAAGGTGTGAGCCACCACTCCCTGGCTGGCACTGAATTTCTTTAACTTCCCTTGCCTCATCCTCTGGCATGTGTGGGGGCTGGGGCGGTGGTGTATCATCTACATCATACTTAAAGACCGAATGACGTGGTTCACCTCAAGCTAACACACTATGCATCTGATATATGGCATCAACACATAATAAGAATACCAACTAATGATCCTGCAACAGACAAGGCAGCCAAGCACAACAGAAATGTATAAATGCATAAATTTCTAAAGAAAGTGTTTGAGCTAGAACCGAAGTCTAAAGAGAATGAAGAAACAGTCTCCTCCAGAGAGTAAAGCCACCAAAAGTACCAGCGCGGGGTGGGGATGGGGGGGGTGGAGTGGGGATGGGGGGGTGAGGAGAAATAAACACGACTGGGTCTCCTACTTGAAAGCATCTAGCTTTTATCCCTTTGAAATGCTGGGGATTCTAGACTATCAAAATAGAAGCACTGTGACCTGGGAAAATTAATTTGGCATAGAAGATCTATTGAAGAAAGGAGAGTCTTAATGAAAAAAAAAATTACTTCCTCCGAAAAGAGTATCGTTAAAATATACAGCAATATGCCGGGCGGCGGTGGCACACGCCTTTGATCCCAGCACCCGGGAGGCAGAGCCAGGCGGATCTCTGTGAGTTCGAGACCAGCCTGGTTTACAGAGCGAGATCCAGGACAGACACCAAAACAACAGAGAAACCCTGTCTCGAAAAAACAAACAAACAAACAAACAAACAAAAAATATACAGCACTTATATTGTTAAGTGGGTACCTGAAGTTACCACCTATTAATGTACACCCAATTACCCTTCTCCGCCTTTCATCAATTCAACCAGCATTATAGAAGGCAGTCACAGGATAGACAATATTTTGGAGTAATCTCAGGACCAATTTAGGAATGCATTCAATCCCTGTTTTGAATACAGTTTTGAAGGTATTTGGTTAAGTTCAAAATCACTATACTAGAACCCCGAAGAAAGCCACTTACTAGAATAAGCTCTAGGAAGGAAAAACGCACTCATTTATTTTCAGTTCTGAAGGAGAAAACTCGGTGGGCTGCTACCCTTCTCCTCCTTACCCTGATTTCGACATTCCTTGATTTCAGGTTAAAGCGTATCTGAAGTCCCAAATGTTCTACTATCGGAGTAAATATCTTCATCCAGTTTTCCTTTAATGGCGTGTATCTGTGAGCGGGGACAGGAATCTTTCTCGTTTCTTCTTTCCCAGTCTGCAACAAAGCACACACACACACACACACACACATTCAGGAGGTGACTGGAGACTTGCGGGCCGAGACTTAATACCAAAAGGGATCGATCCTTCACCAGGACGCCCGTCCCCACCCCGTCCCGCCTCGGTCCTCACCAGGAGCCGCTCGCCCGAGAGCGGCGGGAAGACCGGCCTCTTCGCCGGCTGCGCCTCCTCCGTGTCCATGCGGCTGGCGTCTCCGTCCTGCCCCGCCGCGGACGGCTGCTCGGCCTGTCGCTTCTTCGCCCGCCGGCTCCCTCTGTGCGTGACGGGAGTAAAGCCGTCCTCCGTCCCGGTGTTTTGCGTCTCCATCTCGGCCATGTTACTCGAACCCGGTGAGTACAACCGGCTGAACACGTGCGTGGTGGTACTGCGCAGGCGCCAGCCTCCGCCAATCAATTTGAGGGCGCCGCCCCTTTCCTGAGGCGGGGCCCATGCCGGGGGCCTGAGACGGGATTGGTCCGCGTGTCTGAGTGGCTGCCCTAAGATATGCCTGGTTGTTAGTGTCGCCGTACCCCCACGCGCTCGCAGCCAAAGGCTTCTCAACCTCTAATGTGTCTATGTGAAAACGTCTTGGTAAAGGCAGTAAGTCAGCTTGTGCCGTGTGTGGAGAAACATCTGATGCGGTCTCAGCAGCTCATCTGGCATTATCAGAGGCACCCAAGCCCAACTTGCTAGAGCGTTCCGGGTAGAGTGCGGCTCGGGAGGGACAAACTGCCCCTGCGATGTTTGCAGTCTGGTTTCTAGGTTAGTGTTTGCATCTGCACCATGACCACCTTCGAGAAGCCTCAGATCATTGTCCACATTCAAAAAGGCCTCAACTACACGGTGTTCGACTGCAAATGGGTGCCCTGCAGTGCAAAGTTCGTGACGATGGGCAACTTTGCCCGGGGCACCGGCGTCATCCAGGTGTACGAGATCCAGCGCGGGGACCTGAAGCTGCTGCGGGAGGTGGGTGCAGGCTTGGACTGCTGTTTGGGCGTGCGAGCGTGTTCTGGGGTCTGCATTACTCCTTGCCACAGCCTTGCTCCAGCAGGACCAGAAAGGAGATTACAGACTGAGAAATACTTCGGACTTAAAACTTTGGCATCCCAGAATCTCACTGGGGAACCAGTACTTTCTCTCACTGCCAGCCCCTTCTCCCGCCACCCTCGGTGCAGTCCGTTGTAAGGTTTCTGGGAAGTGAAGTTGAGGTTTCATATTTACGTTCGAGGACCTTCTAGGCTGTTTGTAGTTGTTGTAATCTGCTAGTACGTATGTGCAATGCATGCACGATTCTTGCAAGCAGAACCAAGGAGGCACTGGTATACCTATAACGAAGTTTCTGGAGACAGCTAAATACCCTCTTCTTTCGAGAAGTATCAGGTGAATGCCTAGTAGTCCCAGGCGTGACAATGACAATGTCACGGATCTCATGGAGTTTATTTTCTGTTGGGGGAGACAGTTAGTTAAACACCAAACCAAGAATACATAAATACATAAATCAAGATGAGTTTTCTAATACACAGTTCTGTGAGAGTAAAAATAGATTTAGGGTGAGCAGAAACTAGGGCAAATTCAGAGTAGAGTATGAAGTTTCCAGAAGAAACAGTTTGTGGGAGAGCTCTTTGATAGTTGTGGGAGATGGTTTATTATCTTTTAAAAAACAAAAACACGCTGGAAGTGGTGGTGCACACCTTTAATCCTAGCACTTAGAAGGTAGGAGCAGGAGAATTTCAGTTTGAGACCCTGTCTGAACAGCAATCACAAAAAGATCATACACATACAAGAGGGATAAGTAGGGACCTTTGCAAGATCTCTAAGACATTTAACAGATTTGTTCTTCTTTTTCCTTTAAGAAAAACAGGATCCCACTCAAGGACTTTTAGAAGGAGGATGCAAGACCAGATTGACAGGTTTTGTAAAAGACCAATTACAGAATAATGAAAACAATTAACATTTCATTTTCTTTCTTTCTTTTTGAGATGGGTGTTCTCTGTGTTATCCAGTTGGCCTCAAATTCATAATCCTCATGCCAGCCCCCACAGTGGGCTGGGATTACAGGCCATGTGCTGTGGTGCTGAGCTGTGACTAACAGTTTTATAGTTAGCTATAGTTTTAAAAAATGTTTCGATTTGGGTTGACGAAAACCAATGACCAGTCTCATTGAGGTGTTGAGGGTTGGTAAGCTTTGCAAAGAGTTGGCTTGAAGGAGGTGAATTTAGAGCAGTTAGTGGATAAATAAACTTGCATGAGAAGGTGTGTGAAGTATCATCTCTTCCCTGAGCTTTGCTGAGAGCGTGTTTTCAGGTTTAGTTCCTACTCTGTAGCCGGGCATTCAACTTGGAGAATCTAAACACGGCTTGGTTTTCTCCCTTGCCTTGTCTTCTTCATCACTGGACTCACAGTCACCTGTTGCTGTTCCAGTGGCCAGTTCAGGTTATCTGAGAGAGGGAGGAGCCCTTCCTGATCTGCACTCCTATAATACTGACCTTCTGTGCCAGAAATAAACAGACTGTCTTATGTCTCCAGATTGTAAGCTGGACAGCAAGGACCATGTCTTCTAGTGTGATTTGTAAGGACCAGCCACTCATTGCGCATTTATCATAAGAATGGGGAATAAATGAACTTGGGAGTTTTAAATACTGGTGTAGGTAGGGATCTCGAGTCAGTGTGTGGGTTAAAGACTGTGGACATGGGAAACATTGGCATAACAGAAACTTTAAAGTGAAATGTTAGGAGCAAATGCCAGTCAACACGCCACCAGAAAGCATCTGTAGACTTGTATTTTGTTTTCCCAAGAATTATGATACATTTATACATTTCAGTAATAGTTATTCCAAGTGAAATAGTGTTCTTTTCTAATTACTGAAGAATTCTAGCAAATTTTCATTTATTTACTTATTAAATGAAAATAATAAGTGTTTATAAGAGAATGTTTAGAAAATATTGATAGGTCTAAAAAAGAGAGTGATCTGAACCCTAGGAGTAACAATTGTTTTTGGATCCTCTTCATTCCATGAATTACTGAGACTCCTGTAGAGGTGCTGTGCCGAAACAGAATCACAGGTATTTGAACATTTCCTCATAAAAAGCAAGTGAAACAGTAGAAGCAAATACAATATTGTATTTGTTTGGGGTGCAGCAGAAAAGCATGCAGGTTCAATACATAGCCAGTGACTGTCCTGCATCCAAGTCCTCTGTGTATGTTTGGTTGCTAATAATGGCTATGTACAGATTTGAAAATATCCATGCCTTGTTCCCACCCCTAAAAATATGAACTCCTGCTGGTTGATTGTAGTGAGTGCTAGAGTTAAGAACTGTTGGGTCAGGTAGATTACTTACCTCAATAGGAGGAGACATACTTATTTTGTTATGATGGATTACTACAAGACTTGCTCCAAAGCCTGTACACCCAGGATACATGTAAAAGGAGCGAGTTGGCTGTTTCCTCTCTTGTGCTTTTCCTAATTGCTAAAGGAATGGGTACAAACGGAGGGCATGAGGCTGGGCACTTTGCCACTCGTGATTTATCCCAGCACTCGGGAGGCAGAGGCAGGAGGATCTCTTTAAGTTTGAGACTAGCCTGGTTTATGTAGTGAGTTCCAGAATAGCCAGGACTGCATAGTGAGATCCTATCTCAAAAAACAAACTCACAAAAATTAAACAAATAAATAAAAATGGAGGATAGGGGACTGGAAAGGTGACTGGGTGGTTAAGCACACTGGCTTGTCTTCCAGATGACCCAGGTGGCAGCTCACAGCTGTGTGTAACTGCAGTTCTAGGGGCTCTGCTGCCATCTTCCAGCTTCCATCAGTGCCAGTCAGGATTCTACTGCACAGACATATGCAGGCAAAGCACCCATACACATAAACTAAATGAGTAAGTAGAGGGCAGGACCTCCTTCCCTAGTTGAACAGTTTGGTGGGCCACATAACAGTGTCTAGCCATGTGTCACTTCATCATCCCTGCCTGAGACGTCAGCTTTCCTAACGTACACAAAGGTACCATATGGACAAAGACAGCCCTGAAAAGTGAAAATCAGGGTTGAAAGTTGGTAGTGAGCTAGTGAAGTTTTGGTGTTTTAGCTCCTGTGCTACTGAATTCACTGCTTGTTCATTCGCCTGACTAAACCTTTTAATGTTAATTAAGTAGTGCCAGGATGTGGAGGAGGCAATACTGACAGGCTGCAGTAGACCCGCCCACAGGCAGAACAAAAATAGCTTGCTCTGTGGCAATTATTGATCATGGGCTGCTTTAGTCATGCTAACATAAACTTCTGGCAAAGAATCTAAAAAACTAGGCCAAGTAAACTGTCACTGATGGTCATGTTCAATATTTATCATTATTTATCAATATATTTATCATCATATATTTATCAATTTCATATGCTGATTTTTGTGTGAAATAATTTTAACCAAATAGATCATTATTTTTTAACCAATTAGTATTCTGTCAAAGTTATCACTGAATTCTACTCATCTTTCCATAGAAAAAAATATTTAACAGTGTTAAAAAGAGTTCTTTTGTGTGCTGTGTGAGTCTGTGTGTTTGTGGTATCCCCTCAGTTACTGATTTCTATGAATGTCTGAGAGCAGGGGAAACATGACTGCTTTCCAAAGTCCAGCTACAAAGGAGCTCAGCCTCTCTGAGCAAAGGTTTTGAGTTTGAGTCTTGAACAATAAACTGGTAATACCTAAGTTTCTGTTTCTTTCATACAAAAACAGAAACCCTAAGGGAAGCATGATACTATCTATTTATCTTGCAAAAAAAAAAAATACGAACGAGGGTTAAAAAAAAAACGGAAGTGGAGAAATCTGAAATTAACTTTAATTCATTCCTCCACCATTTTGTTCACTTTTCCAGGCCTGGAACTTTTTTTTTTTTTTTTTTTTTTTGACACTTCTATTGACTCAGGCTTGCAGAATGGGGCTGTGTAATAAAATGTTTGTTGGAATCACATACTGGCCTGGAGGCAGCATTCCTTAGTAGAGAGAGCTCGAAATCTGCCTGGCTCTTGATTATAAATAAGAGATATCACTTCTCACTTTGAAAATGGTATCCCGGGACTGCGTAGATGGCTTAGGTAGTGTTTGTGCAAACATAAGGACCTGAGTTTTAATCTGCAGTGGCCACATAAAAAGCCGGGCACATCTGTACACAAGTAACTCTTGCACTGTGGAGGACAGACGGGATCCCTGGGGCGTGCTGTCAGCTTGCTTAGCTCCAGGTTCAGTGAGAGACCCTGTCTCAGGAACAAAGCAGAGTGCTAGAGCATGATGCCTGAAGTCCTCTTCTGACTTCTGCATGGATGTGCGTGCCTGTACACACTACACACACACTGTACACACATACTTTACACACGCTATAACACACTACACACACTGTACACACAT